TTAATTGATTTTGTTAACGACACCTGTACGTATACGTGTTAAAGATTTATTGATATTACAAATATTACGTATACGCCTAACTTAGGGCAGCACCTGAAATATGTTTTTTACACTAAAAAATCGAATTTTTTAAAGTTTTTTGCGTTTTTAATCTTGAAGATGAAATGTTTTTGATTTGATATGTTCCAAAGTTTTCTCCTTTATGATAATAGCTACAACTTTGCCGAACGGTTTGCAAGATACGAGCCTTAGAAAATGAAAATGAGCATAAAATACATGACTTTGACTGGAAGACATGGGTTTTCTTGGTCTTTTATCAAGCAGTGGCATTCATATATATTGAATATATTGAAAAGACCCACAGACTTACTATAGAATTTATGTTTATTGTTTATAGGTTAGAGAATTACACCGGGTAAAGCTAGTACTGAATAAATATCTAAAATGTTTATTTGTTATTTTTCTTAGAATATTTGTCAGATTTATTAAGTTCCAACAATATTTCCTTTTGAAGTTCTTTTTTAAAAAATTTAAATTGTCAAGAAGTACACAACAACTCTTATTTGTAAATTAATAAAGTTTCTTATGTTTTTTTTAGGAAGCTTATGTTAAATAAAAGAAAAAAACATATTTTTACTTTTTAAATGTTGTTGGCATTCACATCGTTATTTTTATTTCTGAATTTAAATGAATGTTTCACCAATATTTTTACACAAACATAAACTGTCATTTATATTTCCATGGTAGCCATTTTCTATAATATTTGACTTGTGGGTACTTACAGAATTATATACATTTAACAAACATTTTATGGCTAAAGTTTAAATGTTAAGAAAAATAAGTATTTTAAACATATGTACAGCTTTACTTTTAACTAAATTGCTAAAGTAGCTAAATATTCAAGGTTGCATTAAATCTGTGGGATTTACCAAATAAAAGTTTACATATGAATATGTACTTAAGACAAACAAGTAGCATTTTTATTATAAGATGTTACATTTTTATTTACCATTAAAAAGTTTTCTGAACAACAGATTTTTTTCTGAAATTCAATGGTTATTACGTCTGCATATGTTAAATGATTTACTGTTAAACAAGATTTAAATAATGCAGTTTTAAATAGTTTAATTTGTATCCCAAAAGTATGCCACAATATTTTATATCAACTGCAGTTATACTCTAAATTTATTTTCAACCATCAACCTACATAGATTTTAATTAAACTTTATGGAAAACTAAACTTTAATGTGGATTTTTTGATAGTTATTTTATTTTCAAAAACATGTTACCTAAATGTCAGTAAAAGCAATAACAGAAAAAAATTTTTTCTATGTGTTTTTGTTTTTCAGTAAATTCCCTACTGAACTATATTTTTAAATGGAAATAAAAATATATATTTCAAAAAGTTAAAAATATGTATTTAGAGGGAAAAATTTATGAAATATGTAGATATACATATAGAAAATTTTATTAGTTATGTCAAGGAAGAATTTATAATTGTAAATTAATTGTAAAATAATTTTTAAACGTACATAATTATGAATGGTAAATCCTAGGAATTTTTAACCAAAGTAAGTTTATGAATAGACAAATATGAAATTTCTGACAAAAATACTTTTTTTCAGATAAAATATTTGCCATTAAAAGTTATTGAGAAATTTTAGCAAAAATATAAGCGTTATTGAGCTCATACATTATTAGTTCTATTGAACAGTTTTAGAACCAGTGCTTTTCGTTGGAATTGGAAAAATGTTTAACATAGTTATTTTTCATTCGATTTCAGTGTTTTAAAGATAAAATTCCGTAGAATATGCAATTATTTTAGACAAGTATTTGGTATCATTGTAAATATAATGACTTTGAGATTAAACTTTAAAAGATATATAAATAAAAGGATAGATAGACAAAAAGGATCTCTTATTAGAACACGAAATATTGGTCATAGACAAACAAAAGTATACATATTCTGGGTCCTTATTAAATTCTAAGACGATCTAGCCTTTTCCGTCCGTCCGTCTGTCTGTTTGTTGAAAGCACGATGGAGTCCGAATGAGTTCGAGCTAAGGAGCTGAAATTTTGTACAAATATTTTTTATTCATGCAGTATGTTTGGTATTGAAAATGGGCCATATCGGTTTATGTTTTCGCATAGCTCCCATACAAGTGGCCCCCCGAAAGACAGTGTAAGTAGTCAACGCTGGTTTAAAAACCTTTGTATGTTAATGAAATTCCACATAAACAAGTCTTATATGAACCAAAAATCTCTATTAGGATTGGTCCATAATTGACCCTACACATCCCCCCATATAAAGTTCTTCTAAGAAAACGACTTTAACGGTCATAACTTGCTTTAAAATGATAGCAAAGCAACGAAATTCGACATAAACAAGTTTTAGTGGAACTAAACTGTCTCTGCCAAATTTTATGGAATACCCCCCATATAGGGTTCCTCTCAGAAAATTACTTTAAAGTCCAAAACTTGCTTCAAAATTCCTGCAAATCAACAAAATTTAACATAATTAAGTTTTAGAGGAATATAAATCTTTCTACCAAATTTTATAATGATCGGTCCAAAATTGATCCTACCCCCTATATAAGGTCCCTTTAGAAAATGGCAATAACGCTTATAACTTGCTGTAAAATTATAGTAAAGCAATTAAATTTGACGTAAACAAGTTTTCGTTAAACTAAATACTCTCTACCAAATTTTATAGATCGGCCCATAATTCGGCCCCACCACCCCATAAAAGGTTCCTCTCAGAAAATTACTTTAAAGTTCATAATTTAATTAAAAATTCTATTATATCAACGAAATTGATATAAACATGTTTTATAGATACTAATATCTTTTCAGATATTAAAAGGATCGGTCCATAATTGATTCTACCCCCATATAAGATGCCCATCATAAAATGCCTTTACTCAAAACAAAATTTCGTTCCAAATGTGCCAAATTTTATTTACACGCTTACCCAGATCATATAAAATTTGTTTGATATTTGGATCTAACTTAGACGAAAGACTGACAGTGGCAAAGAGAGTGCTCCAGAGTTTCACTATCCTCTCCACATGCTCAATATTCATCTGAATCCGCATGTCCAATTTAGTTGTGTCCTTAAACCTGTGTGTCCAATCAGAATACGACTTGCTAATTATGAGGATATTTCTAATCTTGCTCTCATCAGAGTCACCCCATAGGATCTTTTTGGTTTCATTATTCCAAGAGGCATTATGGAATTCTCTCATCCATATTTTTAATTCAGCCTTCGTTGCGTCGAATGGTTTTGCGATCGTCGAACTCCCTTCCCTTTACATTCGCCCTTTCATTGTCGACTTCACCCGAGTGGTGTAGTTAAAGCTTTTTTATATTCCAATACCGTCTTAGATTTAACTTTATCACCTCATATCGCGCTAATTGCCATCTGGATATGGGTAAATATGTTAAGCCCTATTGGCGCCATATTTCTTCGAATACAATTTACGCATTCCGTTATTGCTCGGACTTCGGTAAAACGGTGGTATATTTCTGTTTCTGTATAGCAACTAATGGTATTTGGTCTAATGTTCCGCATGACCAAAACATTCTATCTGAGATCAGTGTTTCAAAGCTTCTAATATATCGATCGGACACGTCCATTGATTACCGATGATTAGGCCAATTGATGGAGTGTCCTATAACCGCTTTTGTCCAGTTTTCCTAAAGTTATGAGCCGTTCGTCTGTAAGTGCCACCTAATAATTATGTTTCATTAGGTAGAATACCAACGTTTCCAGAGCCTTGGTCGACGTAGAACACATGACACCACTTATACACAAGCAGCATGTACACTGAACTCCCTGTAGTTGTTTGATATTACACTTTTTGTTCAAAGAAGTCCACCTGATTACTGAAGCATAAGCTAGGATTGGTCTAATTACACTTTTCAAAAGCCAATGTGTTATAGTAGGACTAAAGCCTATAGTTCTCCTACATATCGCCCCAATGTGCCTATCCTCTATGTGGTGTCTCCATTTTAATTTCCGGTAAAGTACCTAACTCTGTCTATCACCGGTATCTTCTTGCCCAGAAAACAGGTTAGAAATTTTTATCATTGTTGTGCTTTTTAATATGTTCCTTAGTACGTAGCTGATCCAGTAACAGAGCGCACGGTCAACATAAAACTGGTCTAAGGTGTGGATAACAGTATCAGTGTGCATGTTATTGAATGCGCCTTCGATTTCAATGCATACCGCCAGTGTATCTGTATGCTATCGAAGGATTCACCTACTTCGATTAACGCTGTTTCCACTGATCTTTTCTTGCTTTTAACCATACTATCGACTAGCCGTTTCTAGGTTTTAAGTAGGCAGGTTCAGTTGTGTGAGGGCTAGGTGAAATAATGTACCGATCTTCAACCATTTTCAATAGGTTTAATCCCTGGGACAATAGACTCAAATGACCGAAATTTCATTGAATTATATTCAAAATTAAATAGCTAAATCGATAGCTCACCACTAAAGTGGTTTAGTATATAAAAATGTCTAAACCACCGTGTGCCGGTCTAGAACTAGTTAATTAAGCAGGATTTCGAAAATTATTTTTCCGACACAAAATCCCCATCAAATATTAAACTGTATATAAATTAATAAGGGTAGAACTAGCAACGATTTGTATTTAGTACATTAATACGCATGAGATATTCCTACAAAAATGTGATTCAAGGGATACCTTAATCTATAAATCAGTTGCAAAATCGAACTTCCATATACATATTTCCATATGTAGAAGACTTTACTATGTTTTATTTACAAAAAAACGAATTCATGTATATGATATTTCTAAATATTAAATGCTAACACTCTACCCTTTTATTGACGAAAACATTGCTATGCTATTAAAAAATTTAATTAACAAACTACACTGACCCTAAATAAAAATATTTTTTCATTTTTAGTCATAAATCCCTTAAAAAAACACTATAATAAAAAAAATTTCAAATTTTTTCAATATTTCTCATTGCAGCCCTAAAATAACATAAAAACGCATACATACAAAATCTTACTGCTATAATAAACAACAGCACTACAAGAACTTGTCGGTCAACAGGAAGTTAAACATGAAGAAGAATTTGAAAAAAAATGGAAGAAAAACAAGCTAAATGAAATAAACCAAATAAATATGCAATATAGCATGACACAAATAACAGCAAATAACTAATAATACAAACAAACTAAATATTTAACAAATGTATAAAGCAGCGAATAAAAACACAAACATAAAAATAATAAAAAGTGAAAAATAATAGAAAAATATAAATGAATGAGAAATAAAATGTTTGTGAAACCCGTTAAAATTTGCAATTTCCGTTTTTGATAAAGAAAAACTGAAAAAACGAACAAATATTTATTTAAAAAAAAAAAACTAAAAACGAAAACTATTTCAAATGAACTATTTCCGTTTAATTACAAAAAATGTAAGAAAAAATGTGAAATAAACAACTAGTGATTAAATTATGTGTTAAAATTGAACAAAAATAGAAAATTAGTTAAACTTAAAAAAAAACATTGATAAATAATAAAAAAACCTTTAAATACTTGTTTGTGATTTTACTAGAAATAAGTGCCAATAAATTAAAAGTACAGTTGTTAAATAAACATCTTTCATTTCTTATTTCTTACCTTCCTTGTTTTATAGTCCTTTTCATTAAGTCTAACAATTTTCTTTTTCTCCTACAAAAGTGCAAGCAATTATTTTGCAATTAAAATTCTTGCAGTTTTTAAGCCCTCCAAACATTTGTTTTCAACTTTTCTACACTAACGACTTGAATGTTAAAAGTGCTGTACACTTTGGCAAATAAATTTAACCCAGTGCTATAAATAAATTCAATTCCTTAGTGTTATAAAACAAAAACAAGGAAAATTAAACGAAAAAAATAACAAGCAAAGTGTAAAAAAAAAGTTCAAACAAGTAAAACAAAAAATGACCTCCTCTAACTTTTACACAAGCAGCAGCCGCAGCAGTAGCAGCTCAACATTGGCCGCTTTAGCCTCAATAACGGCCTCAACTTTAAAAGTTGTGGCTGCTTTAAATAACTCGGTAACAAGGGTGGCTGCATTGGCGGTGGCAGGAACAACAGGTGCTTTGGCTACCTATATGGCCGAGAGCCAACATTCCTCCCTATCGTCATCAGCATATGCACATCCCTATCATAGTAGTTATACGGCCGGAAACAGCACCGCCATTGCCAATGGTAATACCAATATTAATACAATATTATATCATAATACCAACAGCAACAACAACAACAACAGCATCACTGATAATAACAGCACCCTCGGTGTCAGCAATTATAATTCTTCCATATCCTTCTTAGCGCCGGCACTAAATATGACCCAAAGACATTTTGTAGGAAGCCTACACAATGTCAACAGCACTCTGATTGGAGGCAGTGGCAGCGGCTTTAGCAACAACAACAATAATTCACTGGTTGATGGTTTAATGGTCGATCATTTGCCTCTTCAATTAATTACGTCAACAGCCAGTTCAAAGGGAAACCTTGATATAGAAATCGATATACAATTGTTAACCAGCGATTATGAAGGAAGTACGGTAAGTTGGTATTTCAATGATTTTACTATATATAACATCAGATGTGATTTAAGTTAATTGAAAGAAATTTTAAACAATTTCCAAATTTATTCCCTGTTGTTTGTGTAACACATGACCAGAGGAAATCTTTATTTATCTCTTCACAGTTTACCACTTTTTTGTGGGCGTCGTAAAGGAATTTCCATTGAAAGCCAAATAAAAAAAACTAAATTTATGCAATTTTTTTGTATTTTTCTTTTCTTTCCTTTACTTGCTGCTCTACTATTTATTTATTCAATTTAATAAAGGCAAAGTAAATGTCAGTTCACAGCAAAAAAGTACAAAGTTTTTATTGAATCTTTTTGTTTTTTTATTAAATTGTAGTTTTGTTCCCTTTGGGGTCAAATATTATTGAATTTAATTTTAAATTATCGAATCTATTTATGGAGAGAACGTAATATTAATTAAAGAAGTAAGGTCATGGATGACTATCCCAGCAAAAACTTAATAATGTCATGTACTTACATAAAGACGTTTTGGATCTCGTATATATCTAGGGTCTTTTGAAAACTAAGATGAAATATTTTACTGTTATATCAAGTGTAGTGTATCATATTCTCCCACATGCTCGATTCTTAACAGATTATTTAATAAAAATGTCTTTATAATATACCAACTAATTTATCTTTTATAAATCTTCAACATTTATTTGTTTAAACTAAAAAAGCAAATATGTTTATATCAAATGAAAAAAAAAAAATCTGTTAACAATTTCATTAGCCACAGTACAATATTGTAAAACCTAATATGTGATAGCAATTTTTTTACAAATCCTGACAATCTCTTTTAAACGATACAGGAAAATGAAACACTAAAATTAAGCTACTCCATAGTACAAGAAAAGTAAAAATATCAGATAAAGAAAGCTATAGTTTTAATAAAATTTCTTTTATTAACACACAGCCACATATGAGTATTAAGACTTACAAACAGGATATAAAATAAAATGGTTTGTAGTTATTTGGTAAGGACAAAGTTTATATACAGATATCTTTAAAAATGCTTTGTTATTTAGTTATGGGGAAAGAAGGAAGTATAAGAGAATATATAGAAAATTTTGGAAAGGGAAATTTTTAAGGGGCATTTCATAAATTTTCGAACACGTCTTGTACTTTACCCTTTCCGATTTTGATGGAACTTGGTACACATATTCTTTGCGTAAATACGAAGTTTAACGTTCTCCGAAATTTCCAAATTCATTACGGTTTAGATTTTTTTTCAATAAGCACTAATTTTGACAGTGTATATTTTCTAAACTATTTATCCGATTTTAATGGTTTTAGCTCTTAATTAAAGCCTATGCCTTGTAGTTTGACAATATTTTATTCAAAATATTATAGTTTTAACGTAAGGACAATGGACATCAAAATACGTCCTATAGTCAAGGATATCTCAAAAAAAGTTACCTTTCATTTTATTTAAATCTTGAAATAAGACTGCGTATAGTGTACTCATTTCCATAAAAATTTCAAAACTTGTAATTTTTTGTTCATGAACAATTTAATTTTTGTTTCAAAATTTTAAATTTATTTTTGTGTTCATCAACAAACAAAACTATAAATTTTGAAATTTGTATGGAAATGATGTGGATTATTTTACTAAAACTTGGTTTACTTGAGATCCCCTCATTGTCCCATTCCAAATTTTTATATATTGTTGAGTACACTATAAGCAATCTCACGTACAGATTTAAATAAAATGGAAGGTACTGTTTTTGAGATATCCTTGACTACAGAACGTTGTTTAATGTCATCATCCTTACGTTGAAACTGTAATAATTCAAATAAAATATTGTCGAACTACAAGACATAGGATCTAATTGGGGACAAAAGCGATTAAAATCGGATGAATAGTTTAGAAAATATACGATGTCAAATTTAATGCTTGTGGAAAAAAAATTAAAAAATATGAACTTTAACCTCGATAAAATCAGAACCATAACGAATTTAGAAGAATATCATCGAAATCAGCTAGTTAGTTAGTTAGTTAGTTAGTTAGTTAATTAGTTAGTTAGTTAGTTAGGTAGCTAGTTAGTTAGTTAGTTAGTTAGTTAGTTAGTTAGTTAGTAGTTAGTTAGTTAGTTAGTTAGTTAGTTAGTTAGTTAGTTAGTAGTTAGTTAGTTAGTTAGTTAGTTAGTTAGTTAGTTAGTTAGTTAGTTAGTTAGTTAGTTAGTTAGTTAGTTAGTTAGTTAGTTAGTTAGTTAGTTAGTTAGTTAGTTAGTTAGTTAGTTAGTTAGTTAGTAGTTAGTTAGTTAGTTAGTTAGTTAGTTAGTTAGTTAGTTAGTTAGTTAGTTAGTTAGTTAGTTAGTTAGTTAGTTAGTTAGTTAGTTAGTTAGTTAGTTAGTTAGTTAGTTAGTTAGTTAGTTAGTTAGTTAGTTAGTTAGTTAGTTAGTTAGTTAGTTAGTTAGTTAGTTAGTTAGTTAGTTAGTTAGTTAGTTAGTAGTTAGTTAGTTAGTTAGTTAGTTAGTTAGTTAGTTAGTTAGTTAGTTAGTTAGTTAGTTAGTTAGTTAGTTAGTTAGTTAGTTAGTTAGTTAGTTAGTTAGTTAGTTAGTTAGTTAGTTAGTTAGTTAGTTAGTTAGTTAGTTAGTTAGTTAGTTAGTTAGTTAGTTAGTTAGTTAGTTAGTTAGTTAGTTAGTTAGTTAGTTAGTTAGTTAGTTAGTTAGTTAGTTAGTTAGTTAGTTAGTGTTAGTTAGTTAGTTAGTTAGTTAGTTAGTTAGTTAGTTAGTTCGTTAGTTAGAGGAAGTCGAGTTTAGGTTTTAAATTTGGGGTCTTCGTAGTTGTTAATTATCTCTTAGTTTAGATTGGACAAATTATTACAGAATATTTTCCTTCTGTTTTATTTTTATATCTAAAGTTCAACAGGATAACTTTCTGATATTATAATTAAGATAACAGATATCTTTGGTATATTTAATTATCACAACTCCTACTTCTGAAATTTTTCTTTATTATTACATATTTATAACATATTTCATTTTCTTCTTGTGTAACTGCATGTTTATCGGATTAACAATTTAACTAATAAAATATTTAAACTTTTTAACAATTTGCAGTTCAAAATTATTTTCCTTCATGGCCTTATAAATTGTCAATTAAATTTTTATTATATGTTTATGCAAATGCGCTTACACTTTAAATTTTATTAAAACGATATTAAATTTTAATATCCAGTTTCGTTTGGTCGATTTTTTTGCATGTCCTATCTGTCATAAACTGTCACTGTTATTAATAGAGAAACATAAAGTACAACAATAACTACAATAAAATTTGCTGTTAAATGTAATTAAAGTAATTGCCTGCTGTCGTTGTAGCATTCATTTATTTATTTGTGGTTCATTTTTTCCGCTTAATATTCAAATATTCACACATATACAAAACAATTTTAAAATTATTATCCTTAGTCCTTTGATAAGTAATTAATAATATAGTTAAAATAACAATAGCAGCAACAACAACTATAAAAGTTTTATTATAACATTAATAATAACATAATTTTTATAAATATTTTCAATTTATTAGTTAAATGCTAAATGATTTTGCTGCTGTCAATAAAGGGAATTATTTTTTTAATATCTTTCCTTGTTTGTTTTTTTGCAGGCTTTAAATTAAAATCAATTAAAAACCACGTTTAAATAAAAATAATAAGAAATATTATTATTCTATTATTGTTTGCCCCAGAGTCCTAGGAATGCATATGATTATTTTTAATAAAATGTTGTTACATAAATGCTGGTGATATTTTTCAATCATAAATTGTGGCAAAATGTTTTTATAATTGAGTTTTTATTTGTATGCCATATATTTTGTACTTTTTTTTTAATAAAAAGAGTAGAAAAACAAAAAAACTACTGAATATGCAACAATGTCAGTAACAAACCATGACAACAGCTCCTGCAAAAACAATATTTACAATTATGGAAAATTTCTATATGTTGTATGGTTAGGGATTAAAAACATATAGCGATGCTGTGGCGCAAATCAACAGCTTTCAGATTAAATTATTTTAAATTTAACAAGTAAGAAAATGTCATCAATCAAACCCAAATTTATTATACCCAACTGTTATTTAGAGACAGTCTAGTCTATAGTCTAGTCTATAGTCTAGTCTATAGTCTAGTCTATAGTCTAGTCTATAGTCTAGTCTATAGTCTAGTCTATAGTCTAGTCTATAGTCTAGTCTATAGTCTAGTATATAGTCTAGTCTATAGTCTAGTCTATAGTCTAGTCTATAGTCTAGTCTATAGTCTAGTCTATAGTCTAGTCTATAGTCTAGTCTATAGTCTAGTCTATAGTCTAGTCTATAGTCTAGTCTATAGTCTAGTCTATAGTCTATTCTATAGTCTATTCTATAGTCTAGTCTATAGTGTAGTCTATATACCAGTCTATATTCTGTCTGGTCTATAGTCTAGTCTATCTTGTCCAGCTGAAAATTATTTTAGTACTTTGCGACCTAAAAAAGTACTATTTTTGTTATAAGTTAGGACTATTTGAAAATTTCGATTTTCCATTTCTGTGCTATATCTAACTATGAACCGAATCTGCAAAATAGATCGTTTCAAAATAGTGGAGATACTGGTATCATATCATACGTAAGTATGACCAACCATTGCATACTTGTTTTCAAATCATTATATACTTAAAAACCGGATGTGTAGCTGATGTTTTTCCAATTTGCTTTATAGATATCTGTTTCTTGGAACAAATATTTATACATTTAAACACACTCAACTAAATAACATACATATATTCAACAAGTACACAGTTTAATGTTTCCCAATAGCTGTACCACATTTCAAAAGAAAATAAATTTTATTGTTTATCTCTTTCTATCACACCAACCTAAAAGCCAGGTAGTACAATTCCTTGTTCCTTTTTCTTTTCTAGTTAATCTTCCTGCAAGAATATAGAAAATATATAAGTAGGATGCAATTGCATGTTCTGCAATTGATATAAATTTCAATTGACATGTCTGAGAAACAATATTGAAAACTAAGAAACAACAACAGTAAACAAAACACAAAAGTTCAAATGCAACTTTGCCAAGGCCTCAAGGAAATTAAAAAAGGTATATAATAAAAATCCAACTGAAAAGATAAAAACTATTAAATAAAGGAGTAAAACGAAATAGACATACACTTACACATGAGTATACAACGTAC